TAAAAAAAAAAAAAAAAAATATAACACAACGATAAAACCATAATTTTATTGTTGGTGAAACCAACCTTTGTTTGTTGGTTTCATCGTCTACTAAACACACGCCCATGTAAAAAAAACAAACGGCGTTTCACGTTTTCACTTCGTACAATTGTTTAAACCGCTAATGTCTAATTGCTAATCTGTTTTTTTTCTCTTTTGTCCATCCCAAATGTCCAGAGCTCAGGACGTCCCTCCGGCCGTGCTCAGACAGAGGGAGCTCAAATGGCTGGACATGCTCAACCACTGGGACAGGTGGATAATCAAGAGATTCGACAAGGTTAGCGCCACGCTAACAGACGGCGTTTTGATACCGTGTCACTGTAGTTAGCATGGGTTTGATGTACCCCCCTCCGCAGTCCTGACCCGGTGCTGCTGGGGCAGGAATAGACAAGATAACTGGTATTTATCAAGCTATCGCTTGCACGACTATGAGGTGGCGGCGGCGGCGAAGATGCGGCATTTATTACGGCTGCTTACTCGTCAAACTAGTTCAGCTCCGATTTTTTTTTTTAAATTTTTTTTTTAAACAAAACAAAACGCAAAGGGAGTGTTGGTAGATCATGAGCAATTAAAATATATAAATATTTAAACAAATATATTTAAATATATATTGAACTTAAACTTGAGCTAGCTTAGCACCAATACATTTGTTGAATCATATGTCGTACAGCTACAGCTATTTAATCAATACATAATACATATATATAAAATATATTCAGCTCGTATGGCTAAATATATATAAAACTCTTCTAAAAATGTTTTGTTCGTTTGAGTTTTGAAAGTGATTTTCATGTGACACATTGAAAAGTCTCTCTCTCGGACTTGAGTGAAGTCGAGGTGCCGGTTTCTGTGTTCCAGAAAAATCTGCTGAGAGTGAAAAAATTGTTTTTTTCTGCTCAATCGGTTTTTTCTGTGCGACTTGTGACTTTCACGGTTGATTATGAATGGTTCTATTTTTGGACCCTTGCAAAGTTGGCGTATAGTTGTGCACAATCATCATATTGCGATACTACAGGCACGATGATATATTGAATATATTGTTCTCTGTGCGAGTTTTTAAAGTGATTTTTTTTTTTTTGATAAACCATGAAATAAAACTATTGGCAAGAATCTGACGATACGTATCACGACACAGGATCAACCGTACGATATATATTGCGATATATTGCCGTACTATAGGAATGACGATACTGTATATTGAGGTGTTTTATTTTCTGATACGGGATCAGCGATATTTCAGGGTATCGATATTTTCTTACTCCCCCTACTGTTCAAAGTCTGGCACTGCGACCAATGAAGACGAAACACATACCATCAGTTTCTGGCCAGAAACTGATGGATTGGCAAGAATCTGACCATCCGATACGTATCATGATACAGGATGAACCGTACGATATATTGCGATAACATCAGAACAGAGGGATCTACATTTGGAATCACTAGAGAAAGAAAGATTTTTTTTTATTATTATTTGGACTCATTTGTTCCTTCTGTTGCTCAGGTGAGGCTGCGGTGCCAGAAAGGAATCCCTCCGGCCCTGAGAGGCCGCGCATGGCTCTACCTGTCGGGGGGGAAGGTGAAGAAAGAGCAGAACCAGGGAAAGTTTCAGGTCAGAGAAGCTTCTTCTTTCACTTCCCCTTCACTGCTGTGTTTACTCCTTTCGCCCTTTTTTCGGTTCTGTCGACTCGGTTACTGAACCTCTAAATGTCAAAGTTTTAAAACCCCTCAAGTTTGAATCCA